TTACTGTGTAATCATTTAGCAATTATGTGTACCATTCAGTAATTCTTAAAATTGAATTCGCTTGCACTTGAAAAGTTATACAAAAACGATTTAGGCCCTTCTTTCCTGGGACCAAAGGTAATAAGTGTTTGTAATTTTTTACAAATTTGATTTTCGTAATGTGATTCATGCGTACATAAAAGCTGCAGATAAGAATTTCAAAAGACAAACTTTTACTTTGATGGTTTTTAATTTTTATGACACATAAATTCTAGTCAATCAATAATAACATATATATTACTAGACGCCCAATAATCACGGACGGTGTAACGTTGATGAAACATAATCCGTTCTGGATTCTAATTCGATCTCAATTCGTGATTCGCGATCGTAACGGACATAACAATCAGCTCTGGACCCAGAAAAGCGTGTCCCCCGACACGAAGCGTGTTCCGCGAAAATCCAAGTGCGCCCCCCGAAATGTATGTACCGAATTTAATATTGTATGTATTCGTTTTTAATGTAGAAATGTTTTTGAAGATGATAACGGTCAATTAATGAGATCACTCTATCCGATACATTGGTATTTATTTTAAATTATATTATTTTAGTAATATTGTTTAAACTTTTACTTTTTTTGTGTCGATAATTTTTAGTATACACTTATTAAGGTATAAATATTATTAATGTATAAGTTATGTAGTGACATTATTGTTTAATGAGCCACGTCCTGCCATAGGTTTTTTTTTTTTTTTTGGCTATGAAAATCTATTAACTCTATCGACCGAATTAAAAAGTGTGTCCCCTGAAATCTGATGTATATTTTAGGCCCTGAATCAGCTGATTCGGCTGTTTGTCGAATTTAGAATTTATATGATTGTCCTCTGCGGTATATTTCTTAAAACTCATTCCGGCCGTTTTTAAATTGGCCGGCACTAAAATTTTCCCAAGTCCATACAAATTTATGGTGTTGGAATGGGGCAATTTTTGGTAGTTTGTTGGGTAAAATATAAAACTGATTATTGATTCTGATGCTTATTATGCAGCTGCTGCTGATCATTATTATTATTTAAGTGATGATTATTCTTATTATGTTTTTTTTGTTGATTATTATTATTATTGTTGTGCTGATTATTATTATTATTATTTAAGTGATCATTATTCTTATTCAGATTATGCTGATTCTTATTATCATGTTGTTTTTTTATTTTGATGCTTATTATGCTGCTGCTGATCATTATTATTATTTAAGTAATGATTATTCTTATTCTGATTGCGCTGATTATTATTATCATGTTTTTTTTTGATGCTTATTATGCTGCTGCTGATCATTATTATCATTTAAGTAATGATTATTCTTATTCTGATAACGCTGATTTTATAATTATGTTTTGTTTTATTTTTTTGATTATTATTACTATTATTGTGCTGATTATTATAATTATAATTTAAGTGATGATTATTATTATTATGTTTTTTTTGTTGATTAGTATTATTATGTTTTTTTTGTTGATTATTATTATTATTGTTGTGCTGATTATTATTATTATTATTTAAGTGATCATTATTCTCATTCTAATTACGCTGATTATTATTATGATGTTTTTTTTTTTTTAACGCTGATTCTTATTATCATGTTTTTTTTTTTTTTGTTGATGCATATGAAATATGCTGTTGCTGACCATTATTATTATTTAAGTGATCATTATTCTTATTTTGATAACGCTGAATCTTACTATCATGTTTTTTTTTGATGATTATTATTATTATAATTTAAGCGATGATCATTCTTATTCTGATTACGCTGATTATTATTATTGTGCTGATTATTATATTGCACTGATTAATAAAATAATGTTTTTTTTTTTTTTTTTGATGATTCTTATTATAATTGTGCTGCTGATCATTATTAATATTTAAATAATGATTATTCTTATTTTGTTAACGCTGATTCTTATTATCATGTTTTTTTTTTTTTTTTTTTTTTTT